AAGTTTAATCATACATATTCTACATCTACTTTACAAAACTCTCAGAGTTGTAAATTATACATTTTAGTGAATGACAAATTATGTGAATGCTCTTTATGGTTAGAAAAAAAGGGATATTTTTTTCCATGATGATAATTTTGAAACACTTACTGAAGTGTCATTTAAGTGGTCCTCAGTATATACATTAAAATTATATGAATTATTAACAGTATTACACTTAGAAGGTTATTTATTTACATGTAAAATGAATTTGAATTACGACTTGTGATGTTCAGTTATGAACTGTGACTGCACAATTTTTGGTTGGATAATTTTCATATCATTTATTCATATTTATTTCTATATTTGTAAAACTATTCATTCTACTGACTGATAAAAATGCAATATTTATATTGAAGGTAAAAAGTGACACTAGAAAACTACAGCTATGAATATGATCCCTATGCGCCCCAGTCTGCCCTCTCCTTACCCCCACTCTCACCTAAATATACTGAACAGAGATTTCTGAAGAAAATATTATTGCTATGAATAGTGATTTTTTCTCACTTGACAAGATAAGTATTGCTGAACACTTTTTGGCCAGAAATTAAAAGGCATTCATAACTTTGACCTTGTAGGAAGGTATCAATAACCTTTGATTTGATAGGCAGATTACAATAATCTCTGACCTTGTAGGAAGATATAAATTACCTTTGACCTGGTTAGAAGATATCAGTAACCTTTGACCTGGTTAGAAGATATCAGTAACCTTTGACCTGGTTAGAAGATATCAGTAACCTTTGACCTGGTTAGAAGATATTAATAACCTTTGACCTGGTTGGAAGATATCAATAACTTTTAACTTAGCAGGAAGATATCAATAACCTTTGACCTGGTTGGAAGATATTAATTACCATTGACCTAGTAGGAAGATATCAATAATCTTTGACCTGGTTGCAAGATATCAATAACATTTAACCTAGTAGGAAGATAACAATCACCTTTGACCTGATAGGCAGATAACAATCGCCTTTGACAAGGAGAAAAGATTTTAATTTCATATGACCTTCTTTTGCTAGTCTATATGGACAGCTTAAGGATCAGTGAATTTTGACACCTGTGTTGTTCTGTCTTGATATGAGGAGGAACTTAAGTTAGATCAATAAGGATGATGTTGCTTAATGGTCATTTGAAAGTGACCAACATGGGTCATTTTGCACCAGGGGATGACCTATTCACCTTTTGTTAGTGTGAGGCATCTAAATTGAATGTTTCACAATTTGCATAGTAATAGCCAGTCATATGAAAGTAATAGGCTGGTATGACCAGGATTATGACCAGTGAAGCACTCCCTGACCAGTTAGACTGGACACTCAACCAATCATTGTATAAACTCTACCATTATACGATGACAATATTCATAATAAAAGTATATGAAGGTTTGGCATTTCTTTTCTCTCCAGTTCTAGGGGCCTTAAGGCATACACAGAATGTTTTTATTTATCTAATTGAAGGTCTATATAGATTGAAATGGAAGTTGAGGTAATTTATTATTGTTTACTTTCTGATATGTTTACTGGTCAGCATTGTCTAGTGGTACATAACCCTGGTCAGCTGATAAATTAAATAAACACCTCTTCTAAGCTTCCTAAATCTAAGAATGAATGCAAGATTAATGGAAAGTTTTGGGGCTTTGTTAGTCTCATATTAATCAGACCTATATTTAAATAGCTACATAATTTCTTGAGAAATCAAAGGCGAGAATTCTTAAGCACTGGTGTTATTTCATATTTTCAGTAATTCAAAGTGACAGAGTAACTGGATTCCTTTGATCTTAGAATGGGGACTGATAACTTCCTTCTGGTAATTTTAGAAATTCTTCAACTGTAACCATAATTGATATGGATAGTCGGTGAACCCTGACCACACTGAAGAAACATCTGATAGGGTTGGCAATCCTGTTTTCATTTATTATTGCATAAGTTGGCCGGTATCTGGGTCTCGCTTTCTACCGAGATTATCACCAGGCAATTTTATTTAGCTTATCAGAAATCAATTGGCGTTGTGGATTCTTATATTATTCCAAGTATTGCAGGCCTAATATTTTGATTCGGGTTTTAACTGACCACTATAATTTATTGCCAACAATGTTTAATATTAAATATATCCTGAGAGGTATTGCTGGACAAGCACAGCTGATAATTCTTATATAATATATTTTATACATACTATAAACAATTTTCAGAAAGCATTAATTTTCAGATGAATTTATAATCTACAAATAAAATATTTTGTGATAATATTCGTGTTCTTATACACATTTTCTTACAGGTGTAAATAGTGAATGAGATCACTAATGTTACACGTACTTGTCTATAATTCCTTCACTCAGGACACTGGTCAACACAGTCAGGACACTGGTCAACACAGTCCCACTCCCTTCATATTAGTGATACAAGGCTTTGATATTTCTATAACAGTTGTTTAAGGAAATAAAAAATACAGAATCAACATTCAATTGACCGTTACTTTATATGACTACACAGATAAACAGGAGTCAAAATCTGTGTCAGAAAAAGTTATAACCAAAATCAGTTTTCATTATTTTTTCTTTGTTTTCATTCCAACAATGAAAAAATTCAACCAAAATTAGGTCTCCGTCAATATAACACTACGTAGTGATTACAATAAATAAAATATACACTGTTCATATTCATGCACTGAAATAATGCATGAGGGGAATTGAACTCGGTGACCCTAAAGCTTTTACTAAAGGTTGAAACTATTGCTGACATTTAACAGAAATAACAAAGAAAGTTTTTACAAGTGAAATGTATTAATATGAAGGGGGCGTCCTACTCGATTGTGTAAGAACCGTGCTTGAAACAGGCGACTTTGAGCATCTGTAATGGTTCATTGTAAACAAAAGTGATGGATCTAAGTGGTAGCCATTGTTAGGATAGAATCTCCTGAAATACTACATTCCTAAAGGTAATGGTAGCTAACAGCCTAAAAACTGTCAAGTTTCCTATGAACATTTATTACTCCTGATAATATCAAAAGTCGCCACAACACTGAAACTGAAACTTGGAGGAGTGTGGGAACCATGTTTTGTGTAGAATTCCATTGTTCTCGAGTTTAGAGATTATTTATGGCTAAGATACTAACCTGAAATGCTACCCAGATAATTACTTCAAATAAACCACTGGCAAATTTGTATTTCTTGATATGAAGACTCAGTTTATTTTGGATTCAAAAGTAATTCTCTTTGACGTTAATGATCCACGGATGTGTATGAAATCTAAGAAGCCAACATTTTTCCTTTTCACATCTTGCAGGTTTTAGTTGCTGCGAATGTAGATAAGCAATTTTGATGTTATTATAAAAAAACTTGTCTTCTTTGGTGCGTGAAATAATGGTAACTATTTGCATACCAAGCAATGTAGCTAATTACATGTTTGAACAACATTACCACACAAAAATAAGTGAACACTTGTGATGTAAAGTTTAATTAGAAAGATGGCAGCAGAGTTTTGCTAACAAGACATGTATGACGATCATAAGGTTTTGTGTATTCTATAGCACTGTTACTTCTCAAATGTTCAAAGAATTGGCTAATGGAAAAATTACTACGCCATATATATGGTGCTTCCTTTCAAAACAGGGCTTCTTTACAAGATACTTGGGATTCCTGTTGGATATAAATTAGTTTTTAATTCTGACAATTAAACCCAGTTGGAGAGAAACATTGAGAGTGTAAAGGTTGGACTTTGATTGAAGACTTTCACTGAGTAGGACAAATTTTTACAGACGGAGGGGATGATCTATGTGTTGATATTTTTGGTACATAAACCATTCCTTGATCGTTGCTAACTCTTGGTTTTAAATGTTGATTCTTTTTGATATTTGAATCATGTCATATGCTTGAAGTTGATTTAGTTGGGTGTCTGTTCAGCCTCTAGTTTCATCACAAGTGAAGATATATTCTTACTTTATGAGTCAATTAGCGAAAAATGTCCAGATATTAAGTGTGGGACTGACATGTTCGTATGAAATAATGAGAAAGAAAAAGTAGATAGTTTTCTTATCGCATTGACAAAGTGAACATTAAGTGCCGTTCCAAACAAGATGTCTGCCAGTTTTGGCAAGCTGGAGCACCCAGCTGTGAGCTATTTGTCGAAAATATATATGATGTATGACACGACTTCATTGGAGTCCTCTATCAGACTATTTCATTTGTTGCATCAAGACCCTGTATCATGACCCTAGCTCAGAGTGGAGTGGTTTTAATTTCATATCTCTGATACAAACCAGGCCTCGCTACATCCCGTCAAATATTACTCAGATGTGAAATTTGTATAAAAAAGCTCTGCTAACCAGAAGACTGTTACACTTCAAGCGTGGATCATTTTCTTTCTGATGTTCCTTTTGTATACTTCTGTGTTAAACAAGGCCACATATCATACTCATAAAATAGACCACAAGATTGGAATTCTGTAATATTTCAATTATACTTCAAAATCTAAATCAGATGAGATCCCAGCAGTTTGTATACATTGATTTGTTAACAATCAGCAACTCAGAGAATAAAAAAACTAACAACATAACTCTAGTATATGTTATAACAAATACACTACACAGCTCTCATGGGATTTGTTTGTAGGTGTAGCTATCCATAGAGGATCTTAATATCATATATGTAGACATTTCTTAATCACATATTACAGTACAGTATTTTTAACTTTCAGCTTAATGTACATGTGTTTTACTACTTGTAACCATTCTTATGGTGATGAAGCTACATATTACTGAACTTAATTACATATTTGTGTTCTTAATTACATATTTGTATTCTTAATTACAGATTAATGTATTTGATTACATATCACTATTCTTATTTACATATAACTTTACGTAATTACAAAATAACTCTCTATTTCACCTACATAAAAACAATTATTACATATTATACGTATCAGAGATATATAACTAATATTTCTCTTCCCATTTTGTCATTACAGGGGAACGACCCTTCAAATGTAATATCTGTGGGAACCGCTTCTCCACCCGAGGTAACCTCAAAGTGCACTTTGAGAGACACAAGGCCAAGTATCCACATGTAAAGATGAACCCGAACCCTGTTCCTGAGCATTTGGACAAAACACCACCAATGCCACTTCTGGGATCGCCATTCCATAACATCACCACACCACCTCCTCTCTCCTTGTCCTCTAGTATGATGGGATCCTCTCATGTACCACTGCCTCCACCGATCACCTCCGTGGCTCCAGCACCACTCCCACCAACGGCGCATTCTCGGCCAAGATCTGACAGCAAGTGCTCCGACGACAAGAAGCCTTTACCTAGTCCCAAGCTGTCTCCTTCTTCTGCTGTCAGCACCACCCCTTCATCTGTTGTAAGTGACCATTCTAGTGGGAAGAAGTCTCCAATTGATGATGCTTCTAAGGCAGTATCTTCAGCATCAGTATCAGCACTACTACCACCTTCCTTACCAATCAGCTCTAGCACTTCAGATCAGAATGATAGCCAGCACAAGCCGATATCTAGTCCCTTCATGCTGGCCCCACCTTCATCGCAGATGCCACCGGTCATGTCACACCCTCTGTTATCTCCACTGTCCTCCATGCATCACTCACTTCCACCGCCACCGCCTCCACCACTCATGTCGGCAGTTCCATTTGGCCAGCCCAGTGGTCGGGACTCTATCTTACCTGCTAAGATGATTGACCATGATGAAAGCTTAGAGCAGTATATGGAGATCAACCGATCAGAAACCTCCAAACTTCAACAGCTGGTGGACAACTTAGAAAATAAGGTGTCTGACCCAAACCAGTGTGTTATATGTCACCGTGTACTCAGCTGCAAGAGTGCTCTCCAAATGCACTACCGCATCCATACTGGAGAGCGGCCGTTCAAGTGCAAGATCTGCGGCAGGGCCTTTACAACCAAGGGCAACCTCAAGACCCACATGGGTGTCCATCGCATGAAGCCTCCACTTCGAATGATGCACCAGTGCCCTGTGTGCCATAAGAGTTTCACCAATCTGCTGGTTCTGCAGCAACACATTCGCAGCCATGCTGGAATGCAGGGTCTTCACCCAATGCCTCCTGTGGAACCCATGCGTATGTTCCAAGATATGCACCCACCAATGCCAAGCTGGGCCCCAAGGCCATTTGACCTGTCAATTAAACCAGACCCAGAGAAGGAGCTAGATTTGCGTAAGGCCAAAGACTCCAGTTCTGGGGGTCATCATAAGGACCAAGATCAAGACAGCGGCGATGATGTTAACAGGGATGATTATATGGACAATGATAGTTTTGATGACATGGAGGATTGTGATGTTGAAGAGGATATGGAATTGGAGGAGGATCGCGAGAGGATGAAGAAAGAATTGATGGATGAAGATGGTGAAGACGCCACAAATCACAATTTACCTCTGGACATTAACGCTAAACTTGATGAGAATGACAAGAACAAGAAGGAAGATTTAAAAAGACCTGCCTCAGCAACCTCTGATGGATCTCAGGATTTGGAAAGGTCTTTGAGTCCCAAATACATTAGTCGTTCACCACAGATGGCACCAGATATGCCTATTTTCTCATCATTCGGTTCCACAAGCTCTGCACCAATCTTCAACACTTCACTTGCCGCTCTAGAGGAACGTGTACGCGCAATTGACGCATCCATGGCTCAGTCACCATTGCATCACTTCAGGCCAATTTCTCACATGAATGGTTTGCCAATGTCACTGCCCAACGGTGACACCTCACCAACCTCTCCAAATAATCAGTACGAATCAGGGTCAGAGGGTCATAGCGGGGAGGATGGAAGCAAACCTGGTACTCCGGCACTGTCTGTCACCAGTGATGGTGGAAGTTCTATTGGATCAGGTAGTGGTTTCATGATGGATGCCAGTGACCACCGCAGAACAAGCACAACATGCAACATTTGCATGAAAACATTTGCCTGTAGAAGTGCTTTGGAAATTCACTACAGAAGCCACACAAAGGAACGGCCGTTCAAGTGCAACGTTTGTGACCGTAGCTTCTCCACCAGGGGAAATATGAGGCAGCATATGCTAACACACAAAATCCGGGATTTACCCAAATCATTCAAGGAAAACGGTGATAGCAAAATGAGTGAGAACAATAATTCATTAGATGCTCCTGATATGGAACAGGGCAAGTCTACTCAGGAATTCTCTAGCAACCGATCTGATTCATCAACCACCTCAGGTTCTTCTACCCACCACACAACATCTTCTACCAGTCCCACCGCCACCACCACCAATACCACGAATTCGCGCGACGGTGACCACTCACCTTTTGTTCGGGAAGCGCCTCTGAAGCATCAATGTCAAGTCTGTCAAAAGGGGTTCTCTAGTGCAAGTGCACTCCAAATACATATTCGCACGCACACTGGAGACAAACCCTTTAAATGTACTGTCTGTGGAAAGGCGTTCACCACCAAAGGCAATCTAAAAGTACACATGGGAACACATATGTGGAATAACAGTCCCTCGCGACGTGGACGCAGGATGTCTATTGAGCCTCCATTCATGATGGCCCACAAAGACAACCCATATTTAGCAGGATTTCCTCATCGATCCCCAGACTTTTTCCCATATCAATTCCCACCATTTATGGGGGTGACACCACCAAAAATGAATGAAATTTCTGTGATCCAGAATTTGGCAGGGGGATTAGGACATATGCCCCCCATGTCTCTCCCACAGGAGATGACATCCCCACGTAGTAGTAGTAGTGTTTCTAAACCCACAGACTCTTTCACCAATGGGAAATCAGACTGGAAACTAAAGAGTTCCTCAGAAGGTCGCAACACAGACTCTCGTAGTAGTGCATCTAGTTCAGGTGAGCTTGACCTGAGCATGAAGTCTTCACGATCATCACCCTCACCCCCCAGCACCTCTTCACTGCCTGACAAGGTCTCGTCTTGGTCCAGTAAGGGTTATCACTCCTCACCAAGTCCAATTGACCATCACAGTCAGCCCTTCCACCTGAAGGGTGAATCTGCCCACAAAGGGGTTGTAGCCTGAGGTTGCCATAACAACTATAAACAGACATTGAACTTCCCATACACATGGTCAGCAGTGTGGCTTTGCCAATATAGGAGAACAGTGACCTATCTGTGACCTTCATTGCATGCTTTAAATATGTACAAATTTGTCTTCACAGTGAGAGAAGGAGACCTGAGTTTTGGATAGTGACGTAAACAAACTGTAAACAAACTGTTGTTATTGTAATTATGGAAGATCGTGTGACATTCCACAGAATGTTGCATGAACGATATTGTCACTGTTGGTATGTTGTTTTTTTAGAAGAAGACACTGTTGTTGTGATTTTTCAAGAAATTGAAATATGATGTTCATTGAAGTTAATGAATCTGTGAATGCGTCTATAGGATGTCTTTGGTAGTGATTGAAGGCTTACTTAGCAGGAAGATGTATGGTGTATAATATATTTTGAAAAAATGAGCCTCATTGTGAAATTGTACCAGATACATGTAGAATCTCCCTCATATTAACGGTTGTGATAAATCAACATGTATATTTACTCTGAACTCTGTTGTCATGCAAACAATGTGTTGTCTTTGATACAGGTTGTGTTGCCATGGAAATGGTGTTGTAATGGAAATGTCACAATTATTTTGTGTGCACCAAGTTTTGTTTTCATCAAAGTACACACGATGAAATGATGTATTGTGTAGGTATAAATATACATAAACTTGTTATAATGTAGGTCTTTTTTTGTATAAAAATGAATTTTTATGGAATAAGATCTGATGATTAAAATCACCCATAACTTATGTGATGTGCACCTTGAGTGTTTGAATGGATAACTTCCTGGTAGTCTGTGTTTTTAAGTGTACTTTTACGTAGAAAAAAATGATATCTAGTCGATACATTGTTGTTAATCAAACAATTTTATATTTGCATATCATAATGAATTGATCTACCTTGCCTTGCCCTAAATATCACTTTATATCATGTTCATTTTGGATCTGTGGTCAGGATCCAACATAGAAGAAGTAAAAGGCCCAATAGTCCTGTGACCCACTGCCTTCCATCGTGCAGTTCATTGTAACCTTTTAGTGTTGTCGAAATTTTGCTATTTGTTTTGCAATTTTGTTTCCAAATTCTTGCCAGTCAAAGATATATCTACAGCGAAAAATAGAAATTTTCTTTTGAATATCACCAAATGTTAGCAGATGTGAGAGGTAGTCTGTACAAAATCCCATCCGTTTTATCAATCAGTATTCCCCCTCCTCCAAAGTCATATATCAATATTTAAAGTCCATATTTAATATTCATTTCACCTTTTGTTCTACCACCTCCCTTATTGTCTTGATTAATCTTTCACGGTATCCTGTATCAACACTATAATAATATTCGTCTTTCTCTTCCTTCTCCGTCTCTTCCTCCACCTGTTCTGACAATTTAAACCTATCTAACCCCTTTCTCGACACCAAAGATTTGTTGTATATACCTAGCCCCTATGTATTTGTCCTATAAATTGCTCCTGTTGATTATTTTGTACATTATTTTTCACTAAATCATTATATAGTTTGTTTTTCAGTTGCTAGTATTTACAGTTCTTCTCCTTAATTTTTTTTTTCTAAATATTTGCAAACTTTTGTTTGTTTTTTCTTTTACAGCTATATAGATGGTGCTTTAAATTGTAATGTAGAAAGCAAAAACTGTTCAAATCAATTTTTCACTTTCATTATTTGAAATCATTTCATCTAAACAAAAACCTCGGTTAATTATCTCACAACTTTGAACTTTTGAAGTCCGCAGATATATTTGAATACATTTTGGTACCTAAGTCATTGCTACTGTTAATGATACTCATTAAATCAAACAAATCGTTTCATCATAAACCAGACTTTAATTTGTCTTCCTTGATGAAAATTATAAAATTTCCATTATAAAGAAACAGAGGGTAAAATTTTCTTAGGTTTTTGTCAATTTTTAAAAGCAAAATTTTGTGGTGAATTGTTCATTTGTCAACAAATGAAGATTTTATTTTTTTGGTAGTTATGTTCTGTTTTGAAAGTGTGTACTTAAGTTACACTCTGAATAGGTGTTCACTGTGAACAAGTATATATAAATTTGTTCGTTAAAGTTACACATTGAACAAGTATAAATGAATTTGTTCATGAAAGTTACGCTGTGAACAAATACACGATACAATGGTTCACTAAGATCTTGGAATGAAAAAGTTTTGTTAATTTGAATAGATATAACTTAGTTCAATGAAATAATGTTGTGTGAACAAGTAGAAGTTATATTTTGCTTAGATAAATGAAATCCATTTCTATCGCATGTCTCAAGAGCTATCATTTTAATCAAATAAATAATGAAATGAAAGCCGTATTTGTAGGTAGGGTATACCAACCGTTACTGCTTTATGAGCAGGTCGATGCTTGCAGTCTTCATTATCAATCATTGAAATCCATGTTATTTTCCTTGTGTTCAACTTTCTGTAGACCTGATGTTACACAGCTATTTCACCTGAATGATTCAAACTAAAGTCAAATAAAAATAGAATCGATTTTAATTGTTGACACTTTAATTATATATGAAATCTTTACACCCCTGTGCTTGTTATTGTAAAACCCTTTGTTGTTCAGATACTTGGGACTTAGATATTATCTACACAATGTTAGGAGGTTGATGAAATGAAAATTTAATATTAGCCTGTATATGTATTTATCAAAATATATTTACTGGAGCATTCAAAGTTGTATAAATTAGAAATCAGTCCAATATTAAAGAGAAATAAAGAGATGGATGGCTTGGTCCATATTACATGATTTTTGTTAATATCTTGGATATTTAATCATTACTTAGTCGAATAGAGAAAGTAAAACACTCCTAACAGAGAGAAAATGAAACAAATTCTGGGACAAACTAAGTTATTAAACTCTCCTGTTATTTTTTTTATTAACTTTAACCTCACCCATTCATAAGCATTGACCTTGAACCCAAATTATACATGTGACAGGCCATCTCCCATTCAGGGATAATTTGGTATCATTTAACCCTGACTATGTCTTATTACACTGCCTGACATATACATAAGGGGAGGGCTGGAGGTGGGTGTGTGTGGGGGTGGGGTCATTTGGCTAGCTCTCTATAAGCTGTTCTTGTGTTCATATTGGAATTCAGCGATGTAACGGTTTGATCATGTGCAATGGGTATTTATTTACTTAAATGCGCTATGTATATCTTTTTTTAGTTTTTGTGACATTATGATCACTCCTGAACTTTGACCATGGAGGTCAGTGTCATATCTGACCTCATTTGACCTTTCAACCCATAGATATTTAACAAGGAATTGTGTGGCTGGACAAGTTATATTGGTAGAAAGTCTGTACAATGTAGTTTATAACTTAGGTTTTTATTTTGTCATACCAGACAAATAAAAAGGCCAAAGCAACTGTATTTCTGGTTTTTGTTTTCTGTTATGAGAGAGAAAGTGAGAAAGAAAAAGATATCCATGTCAATATATATATGTCAAAGGAATTGATATTGATTGTGTTTCTGGGAGAACACAGGTTCTTCATATCATATTTCATTAGATCTGTGAATCTAGTGACACAGTTCCATCATTTATTAGGACTGTCAATTAGAAATGAAAATTTGATTTGATTCCATGCAATATCCATCAAAAAAAGCACAAGACTTTCAAAACATCTGTTTTAGAATATCAGTAATAATTCTACAGGTGTACATCACTGACACACAGTGTAGTAATTCTACAGTACAGGTGTACATCACTGACACCGAATGTAATAATTCTACAGTACATGTGTACATCACTGACACACAGTGTAATAATTCTACAGTACAGGTGTACATCACTGACACAGAGTGTAATAATTCTACAGTACAGGTGTACATCACTGACACAGAGTGTTAGTAATGCTAAAGTACAAGTGATCATCACTGACACAAAGTGTAATAATTCTACAGTACAGGTGTACATCACTGACACAGAGTGTAGTAATGCTAAAGTACAAGTGATCATCACTGACACAAAGTGTAATAATTCTACAGTACAGGTGTACATCACTGACACAGAGTGTAATAATTCTACAGTACAGGTGTACATCACTGACACAGAGTGTAATAATTCTACACTACAGGTGTACATCACTGACACAGAATGTAATAATTCTACAGTACAGGTGTACATCACTGACACAGAGTGTAATAATTCTACACTACAGGTGTACATCACTGACACAGAATGTAATAATTCTACAGTACAGGTGTACATCACTGACACAGAGTGTAATAATTCTACAGTACAGGTGTACATCACTGACACAGTGTGTAATAATTCTGACACAGAGTGTAATACAGGTGTACATCACTGACACAGAGTGTAATGATTCTACATTACAGGTGTACATCACTGACACAGAGTGTAATGAATCTACAGTACAGGTGTAGATCACTGACAGAGTGTAATAATTCTACAGTACAGGTGTACATCACCGACAAAAAGTGTAATAATTCTACAGTACAGATATACATCACTGACAAAGAGTGAAATCATTCTACAGTACAGGTGTACATCACTGACACAGAGTGTAATGATTCTACAGTACCTCAGTACATCACTGACACAGAGTGTAATAATTCTACAGTACATGTGTATGTCACTGACACAGAGTGTAATGATTCTACAGTACAGGTGTACATCACTGACACAGAGTGTAATGAATCTACAGTACCTCAGTACATCACTGACACAGAGTGTACATCACTGACACAGAGTGTAATACATCAGTACATCAGACACAGAGTGTAATAATTCTACAGTACAGGTGTACATCACTGACACAGTACATCACTGAAACAGAGTGTAATAATTCTACAGTACAGGTGTACATCACTGACACAGAGTGTAATAATTCTACAGTACAAGCGTACATCACTGACACAGAGTGTAATCATTCTACAGTACATGCGTACATCACTGACACAGAGTGTAATCATTCTACAGTACAGGTGTACATCACTGACACAGAGTGTAATA